TGTAATGCATTACTTTTAAAAGTAACTTTCCCCAACATTGATTATAAGTATTAATAAAGCAAGAAATATATGAGATGTATGGTTTATTTAAACTGCAAAAGTAAAACATAAATTAAAATTATTATGACAAATGTGAAGAGGGAGGAGAATTTACGTGTGTCAGGTTTTTCGACAAGAAAGACTTCTGCAAAGGATACACCTGGGCATCCTTGCTTATAGCTCCTCTGGAAGCTTCCTCGTTCGTCACTTCCTCACAGTGCGATTAGAGAATTGAGATATCCTTCAAGATGGCTAACCTTGATCAGTTTCCAGGTCAAGGGGTCAAGGACGGAGGAGCGAGGAAATGTGGCAGCATGATTTTGAGTATTGAGAAGCAGCCTTGGTCAAAGCATGGTGACTTGGTTGGTTTGGAATTGTTTAATTATGTTGATTAGTTGTTCCTTTTGATTAGGTTTATTCTTTTTTTTTTTACATCTTATAATCTAAGTTAAAGTTTATAAAAGCTCTGCAATATTTTGGCTTATATCTAATACTAATATTTATAATCCACAAATTATGTAAAAATTTAGATTTTACATGAATTTATTTTCAAAGTATGTTAGGGCTCCTTTTCAAAAGTTGGCTAGCTCAATGATAAGAGTAAGTTAGCGTAATGTTCAAACAATAATCAGCTTTAATGTACGCTACCATTCTGGCAGTGTAATTTAACCCTATATTACCTAATAGTTGACTATGCTTTCTTCAGTTACCTTTCTTTAATCAGGTATCTTTATAATAATAATAAAAAAAAATTGCATCTCTCCTCAGGACTGTCAAGTGGGGTTGAACTTTGCAGATGTAGCAGAGGCTGACAGTTTCTTTGCTGTAGTGGAGGAGAAGATCAGCCAGAGAAATAATCGTTTTGGTATTCAATAATTGTGTATTCATTTGTATTAACTATTTCTGTCAATTCAAACTACTTCATAAATCTGATCATGAAGATGATCAAATAAGGCATCTCACTTAAATTGTTTTGTTTTCCTCTAATAACATAAAGATAAACAGCAGAGAAAAGGACACAAATATAGAGGTAATGTGATTTCTCAAAATCACTGCATTTATTTTTATTTATTTATTTATTTAGTTTAGGTTATTTAAATAAAGTGCAAGTCAAATATATATTTCTTTTATATTCTTAGATCATGGAGCTTTGCCACCACTTCCTCCACCAAATGGTAAGTAAATCACTTTTTACACTAATATTGTGCTTGTCTAATGGGAAACTAAAAGTATTTGTCTGTATTTTAAATGTTCTGTTTTTAATAGGCCTTTCACATCTTAATAAACATTTTCACTAACCTTTACTTTATTTTAGAAAACAAGGCAGTTCAATCTATTTCTTCTGATGTTTTTGTTTTTATTCCTTTCTTTTTTACTAAATTGTATTATTGTTTTTTTTTTTTTTAGTTTAGAGCTTTATTAATCCCCTTGGGGCAATTCATTCAGACTTTCGTGGTGCTTCACATATACAACACTTAACACACA